CGACACTTCCCGTATTCTTGACCACAACGCTCGTAGAAAAGTGTCCAGGCAGCGACTGCTCAACGCTCGCCTCAGCAAAAGAGAACGTCGTGTACGACAATCCGAACCCAAAGGGGAAATGAATCTTATCCGCAGCGATACGATCGTAGTGTCTGTAGCCCACAAAAACGCCTTCTTCGTACTTGACAGTTAGCTGCCCCGTTTCGTCGCGCGTACCAGGGAAATGGCCATGCGCAGGCGCGTCTTCGATGCGTTTAGGCCATGAAATGGGTAAGTGGCCAGAAGGGTTCACGGCACCAGATATGACATCAGCAATGGCGTTTCCGGCTTCTTGACCCGGGAACCAGGCTTGAATGAGTGCGGAGACGTTGTCGAGCCAGGGAAGGGCGACAGCTACACCGGTCGAGTTTACGACAATGGTTCGCGGGTTTACGGATGCGACTGTTTCGACGAGCTTGTCCTGGGAGCCTTCGCGGGGCAGGTGGAAGCTAACTTGGTCTTGGCCTTCGGTTTCCCAGACGGGCGTGTGGCCTGTGAAGACGATGGCTATGTCGCATTCTTCTGCGAGGGCTTTGGCTTCCGCGGCCATGTCGAGATCGTGCTCGGAGGCGTACATGAAGCCTAGTCTGAATCCGGGGAGACCGGCGAGAATGTCTCCTTTTGAGTCGCCGGCGGGCGGCTTGGAGTGGACCTGGATTTCGCAGGGCTTGCCTGCTGTGAATGGGACGCGGAACTCTTTTTCGGGGTTGCCGCCGAAGAGGAAGCCCATGGCATCTGGTGAGTTGTGTTTCTGTTCGTAAACGAGCTCGCCGTTTACGTGGACGACTGTAGGGCCGATGCCAGAGCAGCCAAGGTAGTGAGATCCAGACTCGCTGGGAGTAAAGACGGTGGTAAACCTGACTTCGCTGTCCTTGGCACTCTGTTCGAGCAGTGGAGAGAACGCGGCTTCTTTATAGCCATGCTTTGTCTTGATGGGCTTGCTGGTGTTGCCCTGATTGAAGAGTTCCATTTTCCAACCGTCTTTCCCCTCAAGATCTTTGCAGCCTTTCGATAGGGGTGGGATGAGTCGATATGTGGCAGCTCCCTTGGCGAACTTGAATGCCACGTCGTTTCCGTAGGCAGCTTTGAGGCCTTCTTCGGGAGTGATGCGGTAGTGGGCGTTCAACGAAGCACTTCCGCCACCATGGATCAGAGCCTCCTTAGCCAGACCGAACAGCCCGATCGTCTTACCCTTGACCTCTTCTTTCCTGAGCGGCAGAACGCCGTCATTCTTTAGTAGAGTAATGCCCTGTCCAGCAACATCCCGAATGAGTTTGCTATGCTTCGGGTCGATGATAGACTGCTCAGGCGGAATCTCCGGGTTCTCGAACGCGCCGACCTTCTCGATAAGATTCAGGACATTTCTCGCTCGCTCAGTGATGGTGGCTTCGGTGACATGGCCCTTCTTGACAGCCTCAAGGACAGCATCGGTACTGCGCCACCTCGTCGGACCAGGCATTTCTAGATCTAAGCCAGCGTTCAGCGAGTCGGCCGTGGAATTGGTACCACCCCAGTCGCTCATGACAAGTCCTTCCCACCCCCATTCACCACGCAAGACTTGCTTGAGCAGGAACTCGTTTGAATCCGCATGTGTTCCGTTGACTTTGTTGTAAGATGTCATAACAGCGAGGGGATTCGCTTCCTTGATAGTGATCTCAAAGGGCTTCATGTAGATTTCCCTCAGCGCACGCTCAGACACAACTTCGTTGACCTTCAGGCGATCCGTCTCCTGCTCGTTGGCTACAAAATGCTTGATGGTCGCTGCGATGCCTTTCTCTTGTAGCCCGCTGACCACATTGGCGGCCATCTTGCCAGCAAGATACGGATCTTCGGAGAAGGATTCAAAGTTGCGGCCACCGAGGGGATGTCTATGGTTGCACATGGTGGGCGCCAGACTGAGGTTTCATTAGCAAGTTGATATGCGCGTCGTACATCAGCAGACATACAGCACTCGCGCACTCTTCGTCTTAGTTTCTTCAGCCAACGCATGGCCTATATGCTTTGCATTCTCAGGATTCCACGTCGCGGCTGAACATACCGCAGCAGGGAAACATGCAGCTCGCGTTCCTCCTGTGAACACTTCGCCACGTGCACCGTTCGGTCCATCGCTAGTCTACTGCGCGTCAGTCACTGTAAAGTAAGTCCAATGTTGCAGAGCCAAGTCCTACCTTGATAGCAGGGACGCCTTTATCCGGTACAGGTACAGTTTCCCAAAAGTCCTTCCCGGCAAGCAGCGATATCTTCTCTTCCAGCGTCAGAGACTGGAGGACAGTCTCAACTTTTGAACCCATCTTCTCAGCAATGTCGTAGAGGAGCAATTGCCCAGAAAAACTCAACAAAGGTGTGAAATGAACCACGCGCTACCGTCTATTCGTCCGTAGTGACAGATATACTCAACAAAAAGGTATCACCGCTCTACACCTCCCCCCTCCACCGCGCCCGACCCTCGATATAAGTACTCCAACGCCGCTCCTCCGCGCTCGCCTCCAATCCCACACGGGAATCCTGACCGTCTCTCCGGGAAAAGCACACCATAGTCGACCGCATCGGAGCATCTCGAGACGCTTCGTTGTGGAGAATTGGGGGAACACATTCGCGCATCATTGGCGCGTCTCGAGATCTACCGTAGTGGCACTCGTAAGCGTGCCGAGGTTTTGCCATGGCGGACGGCCTGATCGTGCTCTGATTCGTACCTTTCCCGTTGGCGAGCCGTCGGCAGCGCTTTCGCCGAAGTTTAGCCGCGAGGGTAGGCACGGAGTTTATCCACAAGACGTCAGATGATACGTGGGATGTCGTTTGGATACGAACAGGCCTGTGTTGCAGGCGTGATGAGTAAACGTTTGAGTTCGGTGAACACACTGGACGTTCGATGGCAGACTGCTGATGGTGTTGCTGGTTGCTGGTTGCGCTGCTTGCTGAGTCAGATCTCGATGCGGCAAACTTCCGAGGCTCAAACGGTAGTCGCAGGGGGACCCACGTTGGCTTGGCTGGCGCCGCTGTGGTGCCAGGTGAAGCTTTTTGAGAAAACTATACGTCATGTTGTGTTTCTGATGGGCATTGCATTTCTCTACAGCCTCAAAACTTCTCTGCAAGACGACCGTCTGATATCCCACCTAATTCGGCATTTCCAGGTGTTGATTTCTTGTACATTTAACCGCTTTCGAGGCGCACAACATGGCTGTTTCGTCGAAGAAATCTGGCGAGGTCGAGCCCACGGCGAGCCGGCGGCATCCGCTTCAGCGATTTGACTCTCCATCCAAGGGATTTTCGGGTGCGTTGCACGTAAGTAACAGAGAACCTTGGAAAACGTTAGACAAGGCCAAATGTTGACGAGTATTTGTATCACAGGTTGCTGGTCTGATTAGCTTCTACAGTTCCTTCAAGTTGTATGTCTGCATCCCGCCAACTTTGCAACCAGCTAACATGAGTCCAGCTTAATTGATAACCCAAATGTCTTTGTATGTACAGACCATTCTCGAAAACATATCTTCACATGCCATAATAGTTGTTGCACACAAATTTCAATCCTCACCACCCTTCCACCCACGCTCTAACAAACGGTCCTAGAACTCATCATTCGGTTGGCACCTCCAATTCCTAACCATAATCGGCCTCTCCCTCTCAACCCTAACCTTCCTCTTCGGCCTCATCGCAGACCTCACCTCAACCGCCCTCTCTGCCTCTTCAACGCTCCCCTCAAACCCGCCAGCCGTCGCCCTCTCAGACCACTTGTTCCGGCTAAAGAACTACCTCGCGCTCGTAGCCGCCCCGATTGAAGCCACCATCAGCATTCTGTACTGGACGTTGAAGGCTATTGATGGGAAGCTTTTGGTGCAGCCGTATGTTTTCTCATTCTCACTCTTTATTTTTGAGGCTTGATGTTGTTCCCGTGACGTTCGTTTTTGCTAACGGGAAAATGGTAGGGATATCCCGCTACCACCGGCAATCTACGATATAGGATTCCATCTCGTCCCTGCTGTAGTCCTGGCCTTAGATTACATACTACTTTCGCCGCCATGGCCTACCACGCCAATGAATGAATCTGCGCCTATGATCACACTCGCTCTCTCCACCATCACTGCGTTTACATATTGGATCTGGATCGTAAGATTATCCATTCTCAAAACGCTCTCAAGTACACTCAGCTAACCACACACACCATCTTCTAGGAAATCTGCTTTTTGCAGAATGGCTTCTATCCTTATCCCATCTTTGCGATGCTCACGACGAATCAGCGAATCGGGTTGTTTGTTGTGAGTGGGGTGATTATGTGGGTGGTGGGTGGGTTGTTGAGGGTGCTGTATGCGAGGATTAATGGCTATGAGAGTGTGGAGCAACTGGAGAAGGTACGACGGAATAAGGTCATGGGCGGTAGTGGGAAATGGGAGTAAGAAGGGGAAGGTACGAACATTGGCATACGACTAGATGATGTTATGATGCGCGGAAGCTATGGAAGCGTGAAATGGAGGTGGATGGTCTAGACAGGAACACTGCAGGTGGGTATTAGAGCGGCGGTGGAAGTCATGGATCAGATCTAGAAGTCATGATTTTACGTGATCGGAAGACAACAAACTCTCTGCATTAAACATATAAGGGAGAAAACAGCGATACTATACATGCCCACCAGCTTCTAACCAGCAGTCCCATGCTTGCGAGCAAAGTGTACAGTAGGGTGTGGCATAGAGATAAGAAGAACATGCCTGAGTATCTGTCCAGCGATCCCCATAGCGCGCCTCTCTGAAGATATCGTATTAAATCATGTCGCATGTCGCTACTCGTTGCAGCGTATATCATATATCACCGTGTAAAAGATATGAACCAGAAAGAAACGCGGGAAAGTAAGTCGCATGCATAAGTCGGTAGATGGAACGAGCGTGAACAATCGGGTGTCTGCTACAGCACGGCGAAGCCGAGCGTAGGTGTCGCGTTGGGAATGGAATGAGAGCACAATGTCCAAGCGCTTAGCTTGTAGACGGCGAAGGTGGAGCTGTGATGGTACGTTGGTCATCGTCATCTTGGTCCTGTTGCTGGTAGGCGCTTGCGGTGTTGTAGAGATGGCTGGTGTACTGGAAGGCCTGTTGATCAGGCCCAATGCCGTAGGAGTAGGTGGGATACTGGTAGGCGTTGTTCTGATGGCCATGAAAGTTACCATAAGCCGTTTGATGGAACGAAGGTAGAACATTCTCCTTGTTATCATACTGGAACGGGTCGTTGAAGGGTTTGTAAGAGTTGAATGCAGGTGCAGGAGATGGAGATGCTTGGTGAGTGAAGCCAGATGTAAGATAGTTCATGCCATTGGGCTGCGAGAATGGAACGTCATCCTCGTCTTGGTAAACGTCAAACTGCTTCCGCTTCGGAGCACGGTTGTTGCGACTATGGTCGTAGCCAGGACGGCCGCGATCATCATCGTATTGGTTGCGGCTGAGAATAGGAAACACGGGCCGCTTGGACTGTCTAGTAGAGCGGCGAGTAGTGTTTGCATCAAGACTGGCGAGTGCAGGTCGCCGACGTACAGGCTGGGGGCTCTCAGTCTTGATCTCGACCTCATCCTCTTCGTCAGACTCCGAGCAAGAGATCCTGCGCTGGCGTTTGAAAGATCCCAACGGTGTGAAGATGAGCTCAGTTGCTTCGACTACTTGTGAGTTGAGCTCCAGCTGTTCGACGACAGAGCTGTCCTTCTTTTGGTTCCTCTTACGCCGCATCTCTGGGGTAGCAGAGTCGAAGATGTCCATGCCAGGCCAGTAGACACCTTTGAGTTTGGTCGACTCGCTGACAGCCATCGGATCTGCGACCTCAGCAGGTTCATCTTCAACGGCACACGAAGCCGCAGCGTTGTACCGGTATGACCTCCGACGCTGCTCGCTCGGATCGGAGTATTCACTGGAAGTATCATAGTCTGGGTTTGTATAGCTGCGAGAGCTGGCGCGAGACTCTGTAGGCCAGTACTGCATATGAGGTGCGAAGGTATTGCGGTTGCGGAGGACCGGGCCGTGAGGTTGCGGCGTCGGAGAAGGTGACTGCTCTAGCTTGATCATTGTGTGCTGCTGCTCCGACAGGCGTGGATCGAGGAGAGCGCTTGCGGCGGCGCGACGTAGAGGACGTGGCGCGGGGGCCTCGATCTTGACCGGAGGCGTCGGCCGGGCTGCATCAGATGGAGTCAGTATCAGTCTCAAGTACAATCAGATGCAGGAGGTAGCTGTACCAGCGGGTCTCGCGCGGGTACGGCGTTTGTCCTTCTGGTTCATCCGGTCCGACATGAGCTCTTCGACAGCCCATTCGGCATACCACTGGTCGTACGTCTCAATGAGCCGGCGGGATGCATCCTCGTTGGTGGAGCGGACCTTGACCTTGTAGTAGTTGGATAAGTGGCCTTTGCTGGCGATGTGGGTGAGTAGATGCGAGACATCGCTGAAGTTTGGCTTCTTGGGGCAAATGTTGCAGTGCAGCGGAATGTTGGCCATGCCGAAAGCCTGACGAGGCTGCACTGTATCCAGGTGAAAGCTGCAGTGTGGATGCGGTGTTTGTAAGGAGCGTAAGTGAAACAAGCACAAGAGCAGCACAGTAGTGAAAGCAAAGAGCGTTGCGAAAGGAGCGGACTGAAGGTGGAGAAGGCGAAGTGACGGTGGGAGAGGTGCTCATGAGAGACCTAGTACAGAGATGGCTGCCGGTCACCGCGGTAGCTCCTAGCCCATTTCCTGAGCGAATAAATGGAAAGCAGGAGAGGCGCCAGCACTGGTAAGGAGGAGAAAGGCAGGTGCAGTATCGCAGTGGAGGAATTGCAGCAAGAAGAGGTCTGTTGGTGGTGTTCTAGCAGGCAGAGCACGTGGAGGCTCGGCACTGACGAAAGAGGAAGCCACCCTCACTTTCCTCCCGCTTTGTGTCTCGACGCCTATGGGAGAGACGCGAGGTATTAGATAGCGGGAAGACAGGCTTGAACGAATAATACACGAGTACGAATGAAGTGAACGGTCATGGAATATACAAGCACGATGCGACACAACTAGCGTTTGTTGATGGCATTCTCGCTTACTTACCTAAGCATCTACGGGTCACTGAGCGAGGCATGCAGCTGCGCGTTGGTCAGTATACGCGTTGAATTGCGAGAGCAGTGGTCACATACTACACGGGGTCTACCTCTTCCAGACCGGGATACTTCAGCAGACTGAGACCAGCGATTCCAAAGACGGTGTGGAAGACGTCGACCATGTCGCCAGGCCGGTCTGCGAGACCACCCAGGTCCGGGTCCTATCATTCACGGTTAGATGGCGATGATGCTGAAGAGAAGCCATACCCACCTGGCACTGCAGGATGAAGCTCGTCAATTTCTGACCGTCTATCCAGTGCAGCTTGTCTAGCATGGCCATGCTGCTCATGACCCACCAGCTGTAGCAGACGTCTTCCTTCTTCTCTGGCCGGCCGTTGAGGCCTCCGTTCTTGAGCTGTCGTTCGCTTAGCCAGGCGCCCAACTTTTCTTGGTTGACAAGGTCGAGTCTCCCCGCGATGGTCAGTGCGCCAACACACGTGAACACCTGACCAGAGTGCGACTCGGCACCGGGGCTGGTACCGTATCCGCCGTCAAAGTTGGCGCACGAGTTGACGTATTGAGCGGCCTTGTCGACATCTACGAGTTCAAGCAGGCCCATGAGAGACAGGGCATTTAGGGCGCCGTAGAGAAAGCGGGTATCCTGCTCGCCCCACTCGTCGCCTGCAAAGGTGCCCGTCTCACGATCTTGCAAATCGGCGATGACTACCTTTATGAGTAGACTATCACGGCGAAGCTGCAGATGACTTACATTTTGCAATTTTCAGACGGGCGCCGGGGATGCGCTCTTCAAGCTCACCGAAAGCGTCAAGCGTCGCGAGTATCTGCACGCCACTAACGGTATAGAGCATATGGGCATCATGGCCCGGCGCAGCACCGAGGCCGCCATGATCATGCAGACACGAGATGACAAAGTCGAGGATGGGAGCGCGTGGAAGGGCGTCTGGGCGGCCCAGGAGATGCAGGGCCGTCAGTCCCCAGTAGAGGCCGTTGAGGCGCAGATGTTCGGTGAGCCAGTACTCGAGCTCATCTTTGCGCTGCAGCGGGTCAGCGCGGGATTGGATGGCCGGGAGCTTGCGCGGCCGCTGGGACTGGGGACGGGCTACGCACAGTGTCGAGGCTCTGGATGTAGGCGACGTGCCTGTCGACGAAGAGGTGCATCTCGCTGGGCAGGCTGGCCATCCCAGCAGCGCGCCCGGGCCCGGAAACGAGAGACATGTTAGACGGGTGTCAGATGTGGGAGGAGTTGGTGGGAGCTGGCGGCGCGGGAGGGTCTAGTCGAGGCAGCATGGATGGCGCCGACAGGGTCTCGTAATTTCTGAAACGAGACTTGGCACATGAAGCATTTCGGTCTGGCAGCCGCGACAGCCTCGCACTCGCAACAATGACGATGCAGAGGGTGCTCTTGTGCAGCGTCGATAGTCTGCCGTCGATAGTCCGTCGCCTGGCGGTGAGCACACATGCATGTTACTTAGGCAGATCGCACTACGCCCGCCGTGGACAGCCGTTTGCGATAGCGCTGGTGGGCCGAATTGGGGGGTGGTGGCAGCGTCGCGCCCTCGTACTGTACCTGGGGCCGTGCACGGTGCTGAAGTCGTTGCCGCCATCCTCTCGCAGCCCTTGGTGCCCTTTGCTCTTGATTGCAGCAGAGCCTGTCTGTGCCTTGGGCCCCTCCATCGCACTCACCACAGAGACACGTGAATTGTGTCCTTTTGCTGACCAAGGCGCCGCTCACCGCACTCCACGCAACGGCCGCCCAGCCTGCGCTCCACGCTCCACTCGCTCCCTTCACCCCAGCGCCTCTCCCTCGTCGCGGCGCCCCGTAGACCCCTCGAGTCCTGTGTGTGAAAGTGGGTGAGTAATGCCCAACCACGGCGCTGCGACACCTCGCTCGCCGCTGCCACTCGTGCCCTCGCCATGTTGTACCACCGTCAACACTCGCCATAGCGCCGCCGGCCCCTTTCACGTTCCGCAGCGCTTGCTGACCACATCCCAGACGTTGCATGACCGCCTCACCTGCCCGCGACCGCCATACTCGACGACCTCTGTGCCCGCCAAAGACTGCCGTAGCACGCGCTCGGCATCGCCTGTCCTCCCGGCTTGCTGCATGGGAGCAACGTCCTGCCGGCGGTGATATAGACTCGACACCCGCTGCCGACGCTTCGAGGCACGCCCGCAGCCAGCGCCGACCAGGCTCTCACGGTTCGTACCACCCCGCGCGCCGTCTAATACCTCCCGCTCGCTTTCACCCTTCTGCGCCAGCTATGAGTCCGCTGCTGACAGTCATGAAATACAGACTCGTTGACCGCGCAACCGCCCATGTGCCGCAACCACTGAGCCTGCCACCGCTCCCTTCTCTACACGCGCCGCACCGTCTATTCACACCCTCGCTCGACTGCCTGCACATCGGCGCCCTCGTCCCACCAACACCCATCGAGGTATTGCGGCCCTCGACCTGCACGCTTGGCAGCAGCCATTGCTTTTTAAGGGAGCCGTGCTAAGGAGTCAGTAGCCCTGCGACCCTCCACGGAAAACAATACGAAAGATGCCCAAGTCCTCGACACTCTCGCTGGCTATGCGGGGCAAGCCAAAGAACAAGGACGACGCCAACGGCCCTATGAGCCCCAAAAGTCCGAGGTCGCCAGATATGCCTGAGGACCTCGACTATGCCGCTCCCAATGCCTCGTTTCATAGCATGCCACAGTCGCCAGCCTCGCCGAAGCCTCGCAAGGACTCCAAGAGCATCTTCTCCAACTTCAGCGCCAACAAGTCGTCGTCACGCCTAAACAGCCAGGGGAACTCGATACGGCAGCTTCCTGAACAACAACACTCGCCCAGTCTATACTCCAACGGGCGCAGCGGGGCTTCGACACCAGACCTCGGCCGCCCCGTTCGCACCCCCAACTCGGATGGTATGGCTACAGCAGCCCAGACAAACAGCGTGTCGCTAACTGCCACAGACAACCGCTCCGAGGTATTACGGACAGGCTCAGGCAACTCCAACGACTCCTCCGATCCCCACGCCGACTCCTCAAAGCGCAACACTATCAAACCGAAGAAGGGCATTCTGAACAGGTCGAAATCCATCAAAGACGGCGAGAGCTCAGGTACCCGTGCAAAACTGAACAAGGCGCCGCCAGGGCAACTGTCACCAGATATTGGAGGTTCGTGGACGACGAATGGTGATGGGCCGCCATTGAAGCCGGCACCCATGGACAAAGGTCAATCTTGGCGAGGCATAGGCAAGCCACGAACACACTCGGCAGATCGTCAGGATAGCTCCAAGCAGATCCCACGGGATGTCGACAATGGGCCACGAAGAGACAAGTCGGAGCAGATATCGCTAGCCTCCAGCTCGTACAACGAGACCAAGGGACACGGCTTCATCTCGAAACTTGGTTCAGGTGCTCGCAACATGGGGGAGAAGATGGACTCTGCCCGCAAGGGCGTATTCGGCAAACTTGGACGAAGCTCAAGCAACCACGAGAGCCAGACGCCGATATCGAATGAACCTTACGTGTGCAAAATCATTCACAAGCCCCTGATCGAACAGACGAGGCTGACACGGATATCGACCCGTTTGGAACAGTCACGCGACAAGACTGAGTTCTGGATGCCAGCTTTACCTTGGCGGTGCATAGAGTAGGTCATGCTTCGATTCGTTCTCCACCTGTGAGGCTAATAACCACTTTAGCTACCTGAACATGCGGGGCTGTGAAGAGGAAGGCTTGTACCGCGTTCCTGGGTCAGCCCAGCAGGTCCGATATTACGAACGCAAATTCGATGAAGGTAGGACTATCTCCTTTATTTCCACGACAATTGCTCACCAAGCCACAGACCGAGACATCGACTTGATCAGCGATCCCAACCTGAACGACCCTAACGTCATCGGCTCACTCTTCAAGAACTGGCTCCGACAACTGCCAGATGAAATCTTTCCAAAAGCGGTCCAGACGGCAATCCAGCAAGAATGCCAGGGCGCCAAGACGACGCCGCAAATGCTCAAGGATGAGCTCTCCAAGCTCCCACCATTTAACTACTACCTATTGTTCGCGATTACCTGCCACATCAGCCTGTTGCACTCATGTTCCGAATTCAACAAGATGAACTACAACAACCTGTGCATCTGTTTCCAGCCGGCTATCAAGATCGACGCCTTTTGCTTCCAATTCCTTATTCTGGACTGGCGAAACTGCTGGCAGGGTTGTTGGACAGAGAAGGACTTTTTGACAGACGAAATCAACTTCCTGAACCATGTACAAGAAGTTGAGTCCCAGCAACAGCAGCAACAACAAGAACAGCAACAGCAGCAACAAGTACAGCACAACCTACAGCAACAACAACAGACTCCATCCAGAAACGGCCCACCTCAAAGCGCTGGGAGAAGCAAAGGCACGAACTCGCCCCAGGTGCCGCCTCCGAAGAAGCCGGCGACGATGCGGAGTCAGTCTACTGACCATGTCAAGTCATCCTCGCGAGGGCTTTCATCTGAGAGGAACGGACGTGCTACACCACCAAACCCTTCACTGGTCTTGTCGGAACCCTCAAACAACCCCGTTTTACGTATGCGGGGCGGCGGCTATAGCGAGCGCGAGACGTCGCCTGAGCGAGTCACGTCGTCTTCAGACAGTCGAGAGGGGGTTCAGCATGCGAGAAGCACACCGCGTGCGCCCCCGTCGGTCAGCACCGAAGCGTCCTCGATCGATCTAGATGAGAATGCCACGCCGACTCAAGCACAACACAGTCGCGGGCCGTCTGAATCGACGCAATTTCGACTGGACTTGCGCGATCCACCGGGCTCTCCCTTCAACATTAAATTTTGACGCGGAAGCTGAGAAGACAGCGGACCATGTGTTGAGCGCCTCTGGCTGAGGTGACGATAGAAGAAGGTTGGATTTGACTGCTTGGTTTTCGCATGTTCGCTTCGTCCCGTGTGGGCTGCCACGAGGTCGCGATACCCGTCGTTTGACTACTCTGAGCTCGTGGCAGCAGTATTGCCCGATAATTGTTTAGTAGCCAGCGCTGGAGTTTTGGCCGCGTATTGATTAGCTGCTTATTTAACCCTGCATTCTGCATTATGTTGCATACGGGCGTTGGGAGAGCGGGGCATGAAGAAGTAGCATTTTGAGCGGGTTCATTTGTATCATATGTGGATATCGTCGCATGGCAGAAAGCGTTTCCATGGCAGTTTCAACGTGTTCAACAATTTCGCTCGTACCAACTGGATCGAGTTGGGACGCATGCCTAGCCCCCGCGCTATTGGAGTAGAACTTGTCGAGGACGGGGCCACCTGGGGCGCCAGCTGGGGTTGGAGCTTGGGGCAATGACGTTTCCCGCGGGTTGCGCTTGCGGCTCGTATGCTTCGCGACCGCCCACCGCCGATCTCACACGTCTCCAGGCGCTGCTTCCTTCTCTCCACACAGAGGGCAATTGACCCTCAGAAGCGACTGCGCAAACGGCTTTTGGCCTGTTTATTACCTCTGTCGACCGCGCTGCTCCTACACTGCATTACTACCACTCTCTCTGACTGCATCGCCGCCATTGCTACGTCAAAGATAGATATCCTAGAGTACCGCTATCCACCTACTGTTATTGTTTACTACCGCATAACTCTCCCGCAATCGTTCAGTCTCTCGACACCACCATGTCTGTAGCACTGCCAACACACCCCAAGTCTTCGGACCGCAAGATCGTCTACCTGCTGCCATTGACCGACTACGGCGTCCCAGACGTCGCTGGCACTTACATCTACCTGCCTCCCCCCACCAACCCAGCATACTCGATTTGCTTTCAGATCCAGGGTACCAGCTCGATATGTCGCGAGGGCAGTCTCTGGGTGAACATCCCCGCTGAGGGCGAGAAGTTCAAGCGCAGCCAGTACCGCGAGTACAAGTAAGCAGCCTGCCATGCCTCACCTGGTCACATGTCACTGACAATCACGCAGACTGCAGCCCAACTTTACTGGCATGTGTGAGATTGAGATCCCCGTCCACGAGGCCAATGCCTTTTCCTTCTACACGACCTACACACCGCTGCCGCAGTGGTCCTTCACAGACGTTGCGTCGCCTGAACCCACGCGGACGGACACCTACTACATCGACATATGTCCAAATCTCAAGCTGCAGGGCGAGCACTTGCCGGTCGAGGCCGTCTGCATCATCTCTTGCCTGTCCAAATTCATGGGCAACTACCCGACAGACTGGGACAACCACCTGCAG